CACATAAAACATGTGACATTTCAAAAAAATCTATCTATGAACTGTCTGTCCCAAATATTCAGAAAATCTCATCCCCTATAAATAAGGGGAACTACGTGACACTACAAGCTTTTGAAAAGTCTTGTCATCTTTTTTAATAATATCTGTCATTTATTTATGTTTTTTAAGTACACCAATACTATCTTCGTGATCAAAAAGGAAGGAAGAAGGAAGCTTGCTTTCCTTTTCTAATCACAATACACTTCACTGTGTACTCAGGGGTTTGAATGCTGTGAATCAATGCTCAGATGGTGTACTAGTAAAACACTGTTCTCTGATAACAGCAGTAACTGAGTATCACTGAATGATGGTAGACTATATTCCGGCAGTAACTGTATTTCTTATAGATATAACCTCTCATTTATCATAAAAGTGACTTCAAGATAGAGCTAAAGTTAGTTGTACTTACTGTTATAGATTTGGTTTTAGTAGTATGCAATATTTGGCAATAATGAAGAGTCACTAGTTGTCAATTGGTCATATAATAAAAATGACTTCTCATCACCCCTAAACTTACAAAAAGCAATGAACCGCAGCCACAAACTGTAGCTATTTATAAACACCTGTATAAATTTTTAAGTCATTTACAGCTGTTAAGCATGTGATGTGAAAGCAAAAGGGTGCTTTCCAAACTCAGCTATACCTCTGCTTGAACTATCTCAATGTCAGACATGTGTAAGCGTTCATGGTACACAAGGACTCACAGAAACTTTGAGAAACAATGGGACTGCTTAAGACCAATTCCTTTTAAGTGTCAGGCCTGTGATAGCATAAATTACACTCTGTGGCTTAATAAAAAGCCTTGCTTTCTTACTGTGCAGGGAGCCAATAAACACTACCTACTGATCAACATTATCATGTGAAATAGATCCCAGTTTAAAATTTAGATCTTGGTATTCGCGACTCCCGTATCTTCACATCAGTTTCAAAATGCTTAGATATTTAAAATACTATTCTGAACTTATTACTTTTGTTTACATTTAATAACATCCACCTGTCTAATCACAGATCATGTTGTAATAGCCTGATTTTAATATATACAAAAGGTCAGGGCAACTTTGTTTTTTTAATGATAGACAGAAATGACTGGACCTCCCAGGAGAATATAATTATGTCACAATCTATTGCTGCTGTTTGCATTGTGGCACTTAACCTTATTAGAGGAGTTAAAACATTATTACCAGCAAGCAAATAAATGAGTATATAAGCTAAGCAAATGCTCAAAGACCAGCTTCAAGAGATTTACAGACAAGAAGACAGTGACACTGTGGTTCCTGAGTCCCTGGACACAAACATTCTTCTCTTCAGAAACTGAGATGGCTCCTCTTTCTTTCACCTTTATTGTGGCATCAGTGATGCAACTTTTCAAATGTGGGTGGTCGATTGCTTGCATGCAAACTTCAGTAATCACTGCTTGCAACAAAGGGAGACCGGAGCGGATTAGCATAAGGAAAAGATCCTGCTAGGATCAACTTTTGAATTGGAATCAGCAACCCAATGTTTCTGAAGGCAAACAATAGCTTTGTGTTAGTTACAAGGTACTTGAGTTCCAAAGCTTAATGGAGCTTATTTTTCTTTTTCCTCGTGCAATATTTTTGAAAATATAAAATTCTAGTTTCTAGCCAACAGACCTGCCTGAAGATGTTGCACATGGAGTACACATCAGAATAACTTCTTCATCCATGGTGAAGATTTCAATTTCTATATTTTAAGGACATGGATTTCAGCTTTAAAATATCCAAATATTGCATTTTTGTTTCTCAATGAAGAAATATCAAAATGTTTCATCAATAATAAAAAATAGGAACTTCCTTTCAGAATAATGACTGTAAACAGATGTCAGCATCTCTTGCACTACTTGTTCCTTTGATACTCAAATTACTAATATGTTATTAATTATTTATATTATGATGTTATTGATGAATCTGCTTCAAAACTCCACCATTAGGCCCATGAGATTTTAAGTCAAGTCATGGACTGAGAACTATTTTGTCCCTAAAAGTGAAGGAATTTCAAAATTTTTAAGACTACTACAGATTCAAGTTATCCCTAATTCTTAAGAAAAACAAGAATAACATTTGTGTCTATTCACTGGCTAGATTCCCTTGCAGAACGTCTGTCATGTAAACACTGGCCCAGAAACAGTTGGAGGCACAGAAATGTACATCGTGTAAAGAAAGAACACACAGTAGAAGATCTCAGTGGTGATATTTATATTCATGTGTGGAAAGGAGTGATAACTCGAACATGGCACAGCCATGAACATGTTATCCTGTTAGTGCTTCCTGTCCCAAGTGAAGACAGATGTCATCCATGACCATGCACTACAGATGTTTTATTTCTATTCTACTAGGTACAGCATATTTAACAGAGTTTGCATAGAGAAGTTTATCTAAGTTAAGTTTTCCTACAAAGTACTGGCAAGTAACAAGTCTGTCTCTCCCACCCAGCATCCCAGTCTTCAGATTTGAGCTAGACTAGGCCTTGGGCAATCCACCCAGCGCAATTTCAATACCTCACAGCTAGTGTTCCATCAGGAGAACACAGACCTCTTTTCACTGTGGAAAGAAAGGTTTGGAGCTGTGGTAAAACCACAAGAGAGAGGCCTATGCATGGAGGTCCCAGGTGGATGAGGCTTACATAGAGCAATACATGAAAAAAAATGACAGAGAAAAAATGACAGAGACAAATGACGACAGAGTAGAAGGCCACTATATTCACTGCTGGCTGAACCTACAGCTACTTGTTTCCCTGCCAGTGACAATGTGTGGAACTGGCTGCAAGCAGCTGGGAAACCAGCCATCCCTCTTTGGTGCTCTTACATATTTACTCAGCAATTGCTCCAACGATTTCACATGCATATGCAGGATTTGATTGTCTTTATTCACCATAAGCCACACTTTAAACTCGATGTCCCCAGGTCATGCACAACTGTATACTGTCATTTATATAAAATGATCACTAAGCAAACATCTGTGATTATCAGAATACAACCAGCTGTTCACATTTTGAAATACCTGTTTGCCTAATAACTGGGATAGTACATGCATACTTAGAAATGCTATTAAATGTGTGCTTTTGCTCATGTACACTACTTATTTCTTTAAAGAAGCTTGCAATACTGCAGATCAAATCTAGACAGAGGACACTATCTAACAAAGGTTATATACTAGTAAAATAACTATATCCGTTTTACAACCAGCCTTGGGTAGAAAGCAAAGCAGTCCTGAGTTTTGATATTTTACCTAAAACTAACTACACGACAGCTGGGGAAGTCATTTTGCCTTTCTGCTCTAGTGTTTTCATCTGCATGACAGTAGTAGGTAGAGATGGTTTGCAATGCTAATGTCATTAGAATGCTGCATTTGATAATTAATATCTAATATGGTTACTTTGATGTTATGATACAAAATATTAGGTACTCTGAAAAAAACCCTGTCTTGACATCTGAAGTAATCATTTTAAATGATGAACCAGAGCAGCAAACCAAAGCATTGAGTAACCTTTGCAGAATCAGGCCTTCAGATCTCTCTCTCTTGATTCCTCATTCATAAAGTGAGGATAAAATATTGTCCCGACTAATAGAAGAGTCACAAAGATAGAGCTGAACTCCCTGCTGCAAGCAAGCCAAACCTCTGGCACCCAGCTGCATATCTTTCATCTTCCCTTTACTGAGTGCCCAACTTCACAGTCACTGGTTTGATTTAAGTGTTGCTGAGCCTTGCAAATGCACATGAAGAAAACGGGAGCAGCAAATAACACTGTATTTCTGTGAATAAGGAAACACGACTGGGAAGAATGAACATAGGGACAAGGAGGCAGAGGTTACTGGTTCAGATGCAGGACTGCCTCTGATTTACATGTGACCCTCCTAAGTCATTTTATATTTTTATGAATTTTTTCCACCAGTAAATGGGATGACAGTACATTCCAATACTACCAAGGGAGTAACAAAACATACACTCACAGTTTTGAGGCACACAGATAATGTAACAAACAGCAGTGAAAACATAAATAAGGAAGTGAATATTTCTGTGCAAAGTGTAGCAGGGTTTTGCTGTAGAGTATAAAATAAGGCTGGATCCCATTCTGAATGCTGAGACTGAAAAAGGATAATCAATTTTTAATTAATAACACAGCATGTGATGAGCCAATTAAGACTATCCCAGAGTGGATATACATGTAGGGCAGAATTAACATTGCTCATACAACTTTTATTCTTTCATTTCCTAACTTTTTGGTGCCAGACTTCCCACTCTTCAGAAAAGTTACGTTGTGTACTGTAAGACAATAATAGGTGCATCAAATACCACCTGCAACTGAGGACTATTTTCAAGAAATGGTTATCTAAAACTGTTCTGAGGTACTAAGAACAGCTGCCACAATAAAAACCCTGGCATAATTTGTCATGAAAACATGCAAATAGGTAACATGAGTTCAGAAGGAAAAGAAGTTCTTTTTGGACTAGCCATGCTAACAGGGTATGCACTCAATAAGCATCCCGCTTTTATCAATAAAAGGCAAAGAATACCTCATGTAGGTTTCTCCACTCTCCCACATGACACTTGGGCAACACCCTGGAGGAGCAAGGGCATTTCCCGGGGAGCAGAGCATCCCATTTCTCCACAGAAATCTCGCCACACGCCACCGCCCCCACTCTTCACCACCAGCAACACCCCGCGCCCTCCACCGCTCCCCGGCAGGCAGCCCTGCAGAAAACCGCCGGCATCCGTTCCGGCAGCAAAGCCCTCCTTCACGGAACAACCTCCTCGCCCTCACCCACGACAGGTACCCACGCACGGCTTACAGCCGAGCTAGCCCCTCGCACCCCTCCGCTCAGCCCCTCCGGCCCCGAGATGGCGGCCGCCCGCCCTCGCGCCGACGGCTGATTTCAACGGGCGGAGGGGCCGCGCGCCCACACCGTGCCCCTCCCGGCGCCCCCCGCGGGCGCCGCCCCTCACCGACCCGCCGGGCGCATGGCGCCGCCGCCCCTCGGTCGCCGTCCCGGCCGCTGAGGGCACCGCCGCCGCCGGCCCGGAAGCGTGGGGCCGCCCCCGGCTCCACCCGGCCGCAGGGCTTCGCCGCCCGCTCCGGCCTCCCCTGTATCCCCGGGGGGAAGCGTCTCTGCCCGGCTCTGAGGCGGGAGTGTGAGGGGACCCCCCGATGAAGGCACGTCTCCCCGTTAGGCGCGGCAAGAGCCTTCGACCGTCGAAGTCGGTTGGCTGTGGAGAGAAAATGAGGAGGGAGGCGAGCCTTTCCAGCTCTGCAGCGGTTTGGGTTTAGTGCGAGGCTGCAGCAGGGAGCGCAGGTCATCCCAGGGAGCCGCCGCCTCGCGTGGAAAGCCCACCGGGAGCGAAGGACGCCTGGGAGATATCCCCCAGAGATCTCTGCCGTGGAATCACAGTTTCAGTCCCCTGCTGGGAAAGTTTTCTGGTGCAGCATGATTTCACATCTCCATGATATTATGCCGTATATTTTTTGTCTTTTTGACGTGGCACAGAGGAAAACCAAAACCTAAAAAAGTGAGGCAAAGCAGCCTCTGAGATACTGCAAACACTTCGGCTCACTGCTGTGGTGGCTGTCAAAATTTAGTCAGGAGACATTGATCAAGGTAGCATCCTTCAAGTTCAAAATAAAGGCCAAACCCACCACGAGGAGCCAGGGTTGGTCCTTAAAATGGTATTACAGGAAGAATGAAAGTACCTTCTGGAAGAAAAAAGTGTTAAATTGGTTTCCAAAGGAAGCAAAGCTTGTGCGACTGCGCTTCACGCATGGCTGTGTGCTTCTCACCAGTCTGAAGTTCTGTGTTTCCCTTCCCTACCAGAACTCTAATGCCTTGTGGCTTACTTCAGTGAAATTTAAGGATCTCAAAGGAGTAGTTACTAAGTATCAGTTTCAGGAATATGGGTGTCCAAAACAGAGGTGGCAAATGCTCAGCTCTGCCTGAACTGAAGGAAAGCCTGCAGAGTGAGTTCAGGCAGTATTCGAGAAAGGAAAAACCACATAGAGGCAGTCTTTATAAATGTCTCACTGTGACAAAACGGTCACAGTTTGCAATCAGCTACAAACCACAAATCTGTAGGAGGCTGGAGAGTCAAAGAACTACTTCTGTAAAGCCCTTGCACACTGCAGGGACCATGTCAAAATGAAATATGTGAAAAACTGAACCATCATGAGCTGTTCCTGTTTCTGTCATTACACAGGTAGATACTTGGGTTTTATTTGGTATGTTTTGGGGGTTTTTTTTCAGTATGATTTTGCCAATGAGTGGGTGCTTTTGGTGAATTTCTGACTTGGCCTGGCTTACAGCGCAGAGGAAACCAGTAGCTACACACCTAGGGAACATCCAGACTGGATCCAATCATATCAGTCTACATGTACATCAAGAAGAGCCCAGAATACCTCCCACTGTTCCTTTCTGCTCATTCTTCCATTCAGGTTTCATTCACTGAAGTGACAGGTATCTAGGCAATACCTCATTCTGGTACTGTATTTTTGGACACAGGGGAGGCAGCACTACAGTGCCAGTAGTCTTGAGTTGTGAGCAGGATGAATGGGAAGGAGATAGCTTATAATGGAGGAAGCAATATGTCAAAGATAAAACATTTGAAAATATTGTATCTGACTATTTTGCCAAGGCAGTAATGATTGCTGCTTCTTAAAAGACGGGTTAGATAATGTGGTTGGATGTGGTTGGGATGATTTAGCAGTCTGAACTGTGATGATCATTCAGATAATAATTCACAGAAAGAAAAAAAAAAAGATAAATAAGTATAAATATATTTAAATATAAAAATAACTAAAATGGAACTTGAAACTGTCATTCCAGTAAAAAAAAAAAAAAAAAAATTAGGAGTTTTTCCTGGGTGTTGGGATAATAGACAAAATGGAATTGTGATAGGCCAATTATTTACATTTTGAGAGGAAAGAAAAGTAAGCCAGCACTGTGGAAATTAGTCCTGAAATGAAGAATAAGATTTGCTCTACTCAGGTTTTAAACCAAACGGGCAGGCTTTTACTAGGCGTAGAAAGATAAGCCTTCAGCACAGTCTAAAAGCAAGAAGCTCTGCTCCACGTGGAGGCCTTGTGGGAGCGGTAGTCAAAGTGCATGGCACGCCCAGAGGCTTGCAATGGTATGGGCAAAACGTGTGTTCTCACCCAGGGGGGAAGAATGATGCTGTGTGTAGGGTGATCCAGGTAAGGCTAGAAGGAAACCATCTAGAACAGGTTGTTGAGAAGATGGAGGTGGAACATAATGCAGGAGTTGTGTTGTGAGATCACAGTTTAACGGAGGATAAAACTTGGTGAGGATTTGGAGCATTTTTAAGAAGGACTGCTTGGTGTAATGCAGATTGTTTGTCGTGGTTGGTGCACTTTAACCCCTACCTGGTGGCGGTTAGGCTGAGTGTATTGGGTCTGTGCTTTTAGCTGAACCTGACTGAGCCTTTGCTACTGAGCTGAACGAGTATTCACTTGAACACTGAGTTTTCCTGAGCTATTGTGCTGCCATCGCAGCTTTTGAGACAGTGATACTGGCTTGTCCAGGACAACAATGAGAACAACAGGGGCATGGTGCAGGTCTCTGACTATTTGCAACTCAAGACAGTATTGGGTATAGCGAGGCCTACAGCCAGCAGCCTTATTTCTAAAAACAAAGCAGCTGAATTTTCTAACTGCAGGGTTATTGCCATCAGTTTATACTTCTTCCTATACCAGCCCAGTCATGCAGGTTTTCTCTGGTGAGGTGTAATGTTTGCATATGAGTAGATATTACTGCCAATGCCATTTGCAGCAAAGCCTCCTGCTGACAAATTAAGTTTGCTGTGAGGTCTCTCACATCGAGGTCTTCTCTACAAGCCCAGCAGAAGAACTAGGTTTCTCCAGTTCTTCAACCACCTAATGACTGCACTTTGTATATATCATAAAATCAAGGAATTTATAATTCATGTTGGAGGTCTAAGAACACTCACTGTTTCTAGGCAAGGGAAAACTAGTTAAATTATTAAGCAACCTCAGCGCTTGTCATGAAGTGGTGCTATTTTAGAGGGAAAACAAACAAAAAATCCATGTTAAAACATGAAAAACATGTCATGGGAATGACGTCAGTGTTGTGTCCAAGTTGTCTGGGTGTGCTCAGTATGAATTTCAAGCTTTAATTTTAATAAATTCACTTCAGGGATAAGCTTACCTCCAAACACCCTAGATTCATAACACTAATTTGGGGATAATTATATACTTTTGTAATGCTTTTTAGCTTTAGTTTCTCACTGATCTTCCCAAAATTAATTTCTTGCTAATACTTCTTTTCTTTTCTTTTCTTTTCTTTTCTTTTCTTTTCTTTTCTTTTCTTTTCTTTTCTTTTCTTTTCTTTTCTTTTCTTTTCTTTTCTTTTCTTTTCTTTTCTTTTCTTTTCTTTTCTTTTCTTTTCTTTTCTTTTCTTTTCTTTTCTTTTCTTTTCTTTTCTTTTCTTTTCTTTTCTTTTCTTTTCTTTTCTTTTCTTTTCTTTTCTTTTCTTTTCTTTTCTTTTCTTTTCTTTTCTTTTCTTTTTATTTTCTTTTTATTTTCTTTTTTTCTTTTCCCTTCCCTTCCCTTCCCTTCCCTTCCCTTCCCTTCCCTTCCCTTCCCTTCCCTTCCCTTCCCTTCCCTTCCCTTCCCTTCCCTTCCCTTCCCTTCCCTTCCCTTCCCTTCCCTTGCCTTCCCTTCCCTTGCCTTTTTTTCCTTCATTAATATACTGCTATTGCTGGAATAGTGGCTTCTCCTTTGGATATTCAATACGTTGCCAGCATAATATCCCACATATGTTACATGTTTGTTCCCTACATAGCTGCTAAGGTTTGAACAACTTTTTGTCTGCTAAAGAGCTTTAGGTGGTCTTGAATGATTTATTCACAGCTCATTATTAACTCTTAATTTTACTTGTAGCTTTCACTGTAAAATCCACTGATAATATTGCTAGGTTATACTACAATACAGATAATATTGCTATAATAGCTAATATAAGCAGTTGGGAGTATTACATTTCAGGTTATACTCTTTGGTTTTGTATTTTGGCAAGGGTTTGCATGTATGTGGGGTTTTTAAATTCATGCTGTAGTCGTGTTAGTTTATCTGCCCATGAACACAGATACTTCATTTTGGTATAAGATGTTACTAAAGGAATTAACAAGGATTTAGCCGAGTGTGCACTCTTCTTGTGCAATGGTAAAAATAAAGGAGAAACTGAATATAGGATATATTTCTAGATATTGCTTAAATCTTATGAAGAGACATCAAAGAATTAAGGAGTGTTTCTCAGTTTGTATAATGGCTTTCAAGGAAGCAAGAAAATAGTGCTTGAGACCTTCCTTCTGTTACTTAAGTTCACGCCTACTAAAATAATAATAAAGCAGATCTAGAAGGGAACATGAGTGCAAAAGAAAATGTTACTGTACACAGTAACACTGTTGGTTAAGGAAAAAATGAGTCAAGTGAGACAAATCTAATAGCTTCTTTCTCTAGTACCATTATGATTAAATTGTTTAATGATAGAGATGAAATATAAGAGAAGATAAAATAGGTGGCCTGGAACATAAAAGCACTGCCAGTATGCAATGAAAATTGTTTGTGTCATTCTTTAATTTCATTCTAATATAAAAAAAAAAAAATCTGTTTCCTCCCATAGCATCCTTAGTGGTCACAACAGTTTTATATAGTTTTGAAGAAACTTCAGATACTTTATACATCTGTGTGGATTTTTAAAAAAATGCCTCTTTACAGGTAGACCAGAGAGCAGAAATTAAATTCCCCCTCCCACCCATCTATGGAATATATCTTCATGTAGAATTACCTGTTAGTGTGATTTAAGTTTTGGTGTGCATGTACAGATTGTATTAATCCTCCAGATTTTGCTTAACAAAAATTTATTAATTGGGTGACAGATAAGCCTTCAGTGGTAACCAACTGAATTATAATCTTGTTGTGATTAGGAACCAGTTCAAATGCCATTTACAGCCTAAGAAAGTCAATGCCACAGTATAATGGTATATAACAAGCTACTCTTACATACTTAGGAAG